CTTAAAGTTATATGGAGGTGGAAATAACACGAGAACAGCTAGATCTATCACTGGAGGAGCGAGAACTTACAACAACTAAGCTGGAACTAACAAAGGCGATAGAGATCCAATTGCTTACACTATAACTAGCGCTAGCCGGCTATAGAACTAACATGAATGCGGTTAGACTTAACACGGCAGGCGATAGAACTAACAACATCCAAGCTAGAACTAACAAAACCATTGAAACAAATGGACTTAGGCTCCCGTATGGATAAAATGGTGTTTTTTGAGCTAGATCGTCTTCAACCCAAAACGTTGTCAATAAGTTTTAATTTTGGTGTTTTGGTTTTGAGTTTGAGGAGGTGTTAATATAATATCTAACATAATATATTAAATGTAATTAATATAGAGTTAACATGTTAATGTAATATCTAACATAATTAGTTGCTATCATATGTTAATGTAAAGATAATATATTCACAATAACTATTTACATATATATCATAAATTGCTAATATATTATTAAATTACTATTAATGAACTCAGCCCTATTAAAGACCATAGTATATAACATAATATTAGAATATTTATATCAGATTAATTTATTAGTAACACACGAGTCATAACACAGTATTAACATTATTGATATATTATGTTATATGAATGAGGGTATAATATTATATTATATTGACAATAGTATAATATTATATTACATTAATAATAAAATAAGGTTATTTTAAAAATATAATATAATATATAACCATTACAATTTGATATACCAAAATTATTAAATATATAACCTTTTGAAAATAATATGTAATAATTATAAGATAATATAACTCATTAAGTACAATAGATCCAACACTTAAACTAGAACTTAAAGTTATATGGAGATGGAAATAACACGAGAACAGCTAGATCTATTGCTGGAGAAGCGAGAACTTACAACAATTAAGCTTGAACTAACAAAGACGATAGAACCAACACTTAAACTATAACTAACGCTAGCTGGCGATAGAACTAACATGAATGCAGTTAGACTTAACACGGCAGATGATAGAACTAACAACATCTAAGCTAGAACTAACAAAACCAGTAAAACAAATGACTTAGGCTCCCGTATGGATACCATGGTGTTTTTTGAGCTAAATCGTCTTCAACCCAAAAACGCAACACTTTTTCTAAACACCTAAAATAAGTTTTAATTTTGGTGTTTTGGTTTTGAGTTTGAGAAGGTGTTAATATAATATCTAACATAATATATTAAATGTAATTAATATAGAGTTAATATGTTAATGTAATATCTAACATAATTTATTGCTAAAATATGTTAATTTAGTTGTTCTCGTGTTATTTACACCTCCATATAACTTTAAGTTCTTGTTTAAGTATTGGATCTATTGAATATGTTAGTTCTACCTGGGTTAATGTTCGTTCTAGCAATTTTATAACTAACACGAATCTATAAATAGCAATGAGGTACAAAACGTTGCCCAAGTGTTTGTCAATTCTCCATGTTAGTTCTAATTGCTAAAGTTGTAGGACTCTTCAACAGCTTTTTAACAAATCTTAAATCACCTCATTCCGAGTACGGGCGGAGAAATTACAGTGAAAACAACAATTAGAACTAACATGGTGTAGATTAGAACTAACATGGTATAAGTTAGAACCAACAAGACATAAGTTAGAACTAACATGGCATAACTTAGAACTAACATGGCACAACCTGGTCATTTTCTATCTGATTCCGCTCGAATCTGGGCAATAGAAGAATATAGACTAAGCTGGAACTAACAATACAAACCAAGATCTAAACTTTTGAACAAGTCCATAAGCCTAACAATACAAAGACTAAACAACAGATAGCTTCACAACAACAGTAGAATTAATACAAAGACTAAACAACAGATAGCTTCACAACAACAGTAGAATTAAATGCAAACAGCAGATAAGCTTAACAACAAACAGATTAGATTTTGACAACAGAGCGCTAAACTACGCAACCAGTCCATAAGCTTGACAACAGAGTGCTAAACTTCGCAATAAATCGGAGAGGTTGAAAACCAAAACATAACCTTGACAATCCGTCCATAAGCTTGACAACACAACGTCAAACATAACAATACAACCAGTCCATAATCTTTATAATAAAACGTGATGACTTAACAAAACAACCTTGTATTAAAGTAATGTCAACTGCATGTACAATCTGTGTCTTTGCTCTTAGTTCCAGTATCTTTGGTGAGTATACCTGGCTCCCTTCAATGAGCTTGTGCAATAACAACAGTTAAGATTCATAAGCGCATGGAATACGATAAATTCAGACGGGTCAATACGTGAATCACCTAGGAAGGCATGCAAATGCTAGCAAAAAGATAGTCCTCTGGCTTACGTTAACACTGTATAGCTATAGAGTGTTAACGTATGCCAGAGGACAATTCTCTCCCCAGCATTTGTGCCTCCCCATGTGATTCACGCATGACCCATCTGAATTGATCGTATTCCATGCGCTTATGAATCTTAACTGGGCGTTAATGTACAAACTCTTTGAAGGGAGCCAGGTATATTCACCCACTGATGGAACTAAGAGCAAATACAATGGGGATAGCATGAGGGATATCCAAGATCCACATCAACGTGTGTCCCAGGCAGGCCATGACCTTCATCGGATGTACAAGAACTAGCCATGATTTTACAACGCCATATATACAGGGGAACTTGAAGGTGTAGGGGAGAGGGTAAAAGTATGGGGTTTATAAAATAAATGAGGAAGAGTCTACAGAGAGTCGGCGATGGGGAGATCCGAAAAAGATTGCGCCGAAAAGGTAATCAATCCTATCCTGGGGTTGAACAGGTTTTGGGGATGGTGATGTTGCCGCGTGGGATGTGGGGATAGGTTCCGGACCACGTTATCTTAACTCTCCTCCTTGGGACTGCACTTTTACAAGGTGAGTTAACTATTCAACCTTGGGAACTATGCAAAAACAATGAATGCAGTCAAACCTATAATGTCTCGGTAACCTTCACAGCCAAGTACAAGTGAATAATATTAGTTTAAGTGTTGGATCTATTGAATTGATTAGTTCTACCTGGGCTAATGTTCGTTCTAGCCGTTTCCGTGTTAGTTCTAGCCATTCTCGTGTTAGATAACGCAAGGTCTAGTTTAAATGTGGGTTCTAATGCCTATGTTAGTTCTAGTTGTGTTCTAATGACTATGTTAGTTCTAGATTAAATGTGATAGTTCTAGCTGATCTCGTGTTATTTCCACCTCCAGATAACTTTAAGTTCTAGTTTAAGTTTTGGTTCTATTGGATATGTAAGTTCTAGCTGCCCTCTTGAATAGTTCTACCCCTTCTCGAGTTTGTTCTACTTCGTGCTGGCGTTATTTTTAGAACAAGTGTTTATTTTGATGGCCATGTTAGCCCTACCTCACGTTTGTTAGTTCTAGCCGCCCTCCTGTTAGTTCTACCCCTTCTCGAGTTAGTTCTACTTCGTGCTGGCGTTATTTCTAGCACAAGTGTGTGTTCTGTTGGCCATGTTAGGCCTACCTCACTTCTTGTTAGTTCTAGCCGCCCTCCTGTTAGTTCTATCCCTTTTCTCGAGTTAGTTCTACTTCGTGTTGGCGTTATTTCTAGCACAAGTGTGTGTTCTGTTGGCCATGTTAGGCCTACCTCACTTCTTGTTAGTTCTAGCTACCCTCCTGTTAGTTCTATCCCTTATCGAGTTAGTTCTACTGCGGGCTGGCGTTATTTCTAGCACAAGTGTTTGTTTTGGTGGCCATGTTAGCCCTACCCCACAACTTGTTAGTTCTAGCTGCCCTCCTGTTAGTTCTATCCCTTCTCGAGTTAGTTTTACTGCGGGCTGGCATTATTTCTAGCACAAGTGTTTGTTTTGGTGGCCATGTTAGCCCTACCCCACAGCTTGTTAGTTCTAGCTGTCCTCCTGTTAGTTCTATCCCTTCTCGAGTTAGTTCTACTGCGGGCTGGCGTTATTTCTATAGCACAAGTGTGTGTTCTGTTGGCCATGTTAGGCCTACCTCACTTCTTGTTAGTTCTAGCTACCCTCCTGTTAGTTCTATCCCTTATCGAGTTAGTTCTACTTCGTGATGGCGTTATTTCTAGCACAAGTGTTTGTTTAGTTCTATCCCTTCTCGAGTTAGTTCTACTGCTGGCTGGCGTTATTTCTATCACAAGTTTTTGCTCTGGTGGCTATGTTAGCCCTAGCTTACTTCTCATTTAACATGAAAATACTTACAACACACAACAACAACGTAGTTGTCTGTAAATGTACACGCAAAACAATTAACAACATATTAACAATATGAACATACTTACAACATTGAATACACAACAAAAACTTTGGAGAAAATTAAAATAATATTTACAAAAAAGGTGAATCGCGTGCATACAAAAGAGCAGCACAAAACTTGAGAAAATTAAAATAATATTTACAAAAAAGGTGAATCGCGTGCATACAAAAGAGCAGCACAAAACTTTGCTCTATATTTTGCACAATCTCCTTTTGAAATTGTTATCGACCGTTTTTCGACAATGCTGTTGATGAATTCAATCATAAAGATCCCGCAATCTAACGTTCTGCATTTAAGGGAAAAATATTACAATATTGAAAATGACTATGAACAAAAAAAATGAACAATTAAATTAGAAATGCATGAAACACTTACGGTCCTTGTTGTGGCATATGAACAAAAAAAATGAACAATTAAATTAGAAATGCATGAAACACTTACGGTCCTTGTTGTGGCACGGAAACTGACACAAGACCATGATGCTCCGATTTCCCTAATCCCCAATTACTCTTAATGAAACTCATAAACTTATTTCTAAATTTCACAACATTGGCGGTATAAATGGGGGAGTTGATTGAGGAGTAGTGATAGAATTTTTTCTCCTCTCTCACTAACTCTACCAAGGTGCCAATGTCCGGAGCTGACAATCGGGATCAGAATTCTTTCACACTCCAAGAACTTCTGCTGAGAAATATTTTCCTTCATTCGTTTTGCCACCATTTCAAGATTTCCTTCTAGAAATGCTTGCTAAAAGATGCAATAATGTCAACATTGTGGGATAACATAATAATAATATCCACCAATTAGTGAAAAAAACAAGGATATACTTACTGCAAGCCAAGGTCTTGTGACATGTATCTTTCGATCATAACTATTATTTGTTTCAATCTTGTTACAAAGCCGAATAACAAATGCATCGATCACCTACAAAATTTACCATGAATGAATAAAATAGTTAATATAAATTATTTTATATACAACATCAAACAATCAATAACACAATTGTTTAGAACCTACATCGTCACTGAGTTCACCTCCCGTTAATAGTATATAAGCATCTAAGCATGATACGCTTGCTTCGGCACACTTCCAAATGTACGTATCACTATATGCAAGTACATTGTGAGAAAATTGCTACTAGAATTAAGTAAATTCAAAGATTATTATTAGAATAAGTCAATAACAGTTACCTGTTCATTCTCGATTGTAGAAAGTCTTCAATTAATTTGTTCTCATAATCAAACGCCAGTGCCTTACCTGGATAGTCTCTAGATGTAGGTATGAAGCCTTCTTCATTTTTGTACTTTTTTTTCCCATCAGGACTATCCAATATCTGGATGACACGTCTCTTCTTTGTGCCTTCCTTTGGTTGATCTAGAGGCATATAAGGTGAAGTAACAGAGGGTCCATCCTTCCTCTCCCTCTTTCCGACAGCCCGTTTGATAGATGGCGTTTCTCTGTTATTCTCATTACCACCTTCATCTTTTTGAGAAACATCTCTATAGAGTCGAGAAGGCATATAATTAACAAAGAGTTACACAAGAATTATATGGAAAATATAAAAATTAAAATTGCAAGAAAATTTAAAAAACTAAACTCACCGAGCATCTTCTAAAATTCTCATGTCTCTTGCGCTCATCACAAAGTCATCACATAAATCGGCTTCCCCAGTTCCTTCCAAATTCTCATATTCCTTAGCTTCCATATCCTCTTTGATTTTTTTTCTTCAGTTACATTTCCGTCATCCTCTTTCTCCTTGGTTTTTTTTGGCATCTAGCACTACGCTCTTCTAATTCTCGTAATTCTGTAGTGAGCTCATTCAACTCGTACGTCTTCTCCGCAATTAAGAAAATTAATTCAGCTTTCCTTGATTCCTATTTGACAAAAAAAAAGCTAGTATTAGTATGTATACTATAGTTGCAACATAGATACTAACAAAAGGGACATAAAATAATGAACTATTAGAGCAACGATATGTACAAATACTATTGGCGATGCCGTATGAATAAGAGGAGTATTCTCTTGGCCATTATCCGTAACCAACTTCGGGACTCTATATAATTTGTTCATAGTAGTCCTCCTCCACTTTCCAGTACTCTTCACACAAAAGAGCGGCGGTAACCTTTCAATATCTGAAGTGTACTCTAATTCCCCTACTTTTTCATAAAACCAAACCTACAAAAAAGAAACTACACATTAGCATGTGCATAAACAATAATCATTATCAAAATGAAAAGATATACAAAATAATGTTCATGTAACTCACCAGTAAAACGGAGGAAAAACCACCCATGTACCCGGCATTTGAGCGCTGACCTAATTCCCGCATACTAAGAGACTTCTTTGATTTACTCATCTCTTTGCAAAGAAGAGTGAACACCGCATGGCACCAATTATATTTATGCAAAGTTGATAACTGCTCCGCATATCTAAACGCCCACAAGGGACATGTCTTACATGTCCGCGGGCATAATATGAAGCCGATAATGAAAGCCACAATAAGTTTCACACATATTATAGGGTCTTCATTAATCATATCTACAATCATCTCGGCCATTCTATCGCGCTTCCCCGAAATCACCGCCTTCTTTTCCTCATCGGCTTTCTTATAATTCTTTACAAAATAGGTGTAGATTGTATTAGCCGCTGCCCCACTCATTTTTATCGGAATTCCCTCCTTTGGCAATCCGGTAATTCGGTGAATATCATCTATACCGAACACACAATTTTTATTCCCAATCATGAATGAGCATTTATCAGGATTAAAATTTTGAATCAAGCAATCAATTGCTATTTGCTCATTGCTCAAGGATGTGGGTATATTGAGAAAGCTGTGAAAAGGTGTCGTCTGTAGGGCTTTTAGGTGTCTTTCATCTAATTTTATTCGCTTATCAATTAAATCTCGAAAATAACACAAATTGGCCGGAATTCTCAAGTGTGTTATCTTAGCCCTACAAGAAAATTATAATTCAGAAAGAGTTAAAAATTAAATATATTTGGGCAAATTAAGACGCATATTAACAAGTTTATTAACACAAACATTATACATCATGGCTTACAACAAAAATTATAATTCAGAAAGAGTTAAAAATTAAATATATCATGGCAAATTACTTACGAAGTTGGAGGATTATTTTGAAGAGAAAGACAACATACATTAAAATCTCTAGATTATTTCTTCTATAAAATTTCCTGGAATAGTTATTGAATGCCATTTGTAGTAACTCACTTGGTAATGTACTAATGTCTGTAATTCTGTGAGATTGTGAGGGAAACTTATGGTGAAATGTTTACATGAGATGGCAATAATAAATGATATGGACATCTTTATCATAGTTTATGTGCAATGATAATGCATTTCATTTTCATTAAGTCCTTTTTTCTTTATTTCAAACATGGAGTATTCCAAATAACAACCAAAATGACCCTTGAATCTTTTTCTTATTGCATCAAATTTAGCAAAACAATCCTTGGTAATGTGCCAGATGTAATGTTGTTGGATTAAGGGCTAGCTATTCTTTGATGGTGGATCAGTTAGGTATTCACTATTCATAGAGCACTATGTAGCATTCTCTATATATGTTAAGTAGAATTAGCTTCATCTGTATTATGAAATAGTTTTTGCTAAAAGCCTGTAGCATGATATCTTCTTCCTCATTATTTGCTATTGAGCGTGATAAGAATAAACACTATTATTTATGTTCCACGTCTGTGCAAATACCGAGTTAGAATTTTTTTTATACATATAGAAGTTTTTAGTCGTAGATATAGTAGAAATATAACTCAGTAATAGTTACTTTAAAGAGATAAATTACTCCTAACGGGTCATAAGATTATTCCTCATTGATCAATGTACTTATGGTTCAATAAAAATATCATCATATGATTTAATTTTATTTCAATGTACTTATCGGTTGATTAAAATTACGGAATGGTAATTTTATTTCAATGTTGGGTTGTAATTTTAAATGGATCTTTACATGTATTTATGCTCTCAAACATGACCTCTATTGTGCTATTCCAATTTCTTTTTATTTAGATTTTTAAGTCTGAGAAATTTATATGTTGATAATGACTGTTGGGTTACATTGGGATTATTATCACTTTCATTTATATTCTAATCAAAAAGTTTAAAATGAGGTAAACTTTAGAGTGTCAGAGATGAAATCAGAGTAAGCTTTGGGGTATTTAAAGGCAAGGAACTCATTTTAATTCATCTAATATTATATGATTGTTATGTTGTTATATCCACTGATTTGCATTTATATTTGTAAGTGAAAAAAACACAAATAAATGTAGAAAAATGAAAGAAAAAGAGCACAGAAACAAGAGATGCTTCATTTAAGCTCGTCCCTTTGGTTCAGAAGCCAATATCGTCTGTTTTGGAGAAGATAAGGCTTAGGAAGTTGGAAGTGCTGAAACAGTGAGCAATTTCGATTTATTATGAGGTCAGGAAAAGTTACTGACATATATCAACATAAACTTTTTTTTACTGGTAATTACAGAACTAGCATCCTTTGTCAATCTGACTCTGTTGAAGCCTCTGATTGTTCGGTTGATGAAATTGTTCAGAAGAACTCCTCGAACTCCTCTGTCAGGAATCAAAATGATTCAAGAGATAATGCAGGGGATGCAGAAGTGGTGGGTTTTCCTAGGTTCATCTATATGTTCGCCGGTAGTTGATGGTAAGAAATCATTCTGAATTTAACGTTTTGTTGGTGATTTCATTATTTCAGGATGGCATTTCAGTCAGGTGTCAGAATAATTCAAGAGATGATATTAGGGCTGCACCAATGGTGTGTTTTCTGAGCTTCACCTATAGTTTACAATTACGATTATTAAATATGAGAAGTCATTAAATTTTTTTTACTTATTGTTATTATGATTATTAAATATGTTTTCTGAGCTTCACCTTTTCCTATGGTTTTTCTTGACCTTTCATCTTTTCAACAAATTTTTTACTTATTGTTATTATGGAACCTAAAATCGTCATTTTGTCTTAGCTAGATACAGTTTTGATCTATAGCTCATTGTTACTTATAGTGTCTAAATATCAAATTGATTTGATTATTTCATTAACTTTTAAGTTTCTTCTGAACAAGAAACAAGAGATGCTTCATTTAAGCCTGTCCCTTTGGTTCAGAAGCCAATATCGTCTGTTTTGGAGAAGATAAAGCTTAGGAAGTTGGAAGTGCTAAAACAGTGAGCAATTTCGATTTATTATGAGGTCAGGAAAAGCTACTGACATATATCAACATAAACTTTTTTTTACTGGTAATTACAGAACTAGCATCCTTTGTCAATCTGACTCTGTTGAAGCCTCTGATTGTTCGGTTGATGAAATTGTTCAGAAGAACTCCTCGAACTCCTCTGTCAGGAATCAAAATGATTCAAGAGATAATGCAGGGGATGCAGAAGTGGTGGGTTTTCCTAGGTTCATCTATATGTTCGCCGGTAGTTGATGGTAAGAAATCATTCTGAATTTAACGTTTTGTTGGTGATTTCATTATTTCAGGATGGCATTTCAGTCAGGTGTCAGAATAATTCAAGAGATGATATTAGGGCTGCACCAATGGTGTGTTTTCTGAGCTTCACCTATAGTTTACAATTACGATTATTAAATATGAGAAGTCATTAAAATTTAACCTTTGACTAATGTCTTTATTATTTTAGGACGATTTAAACAATAATCTGAGAAGTCTACTCCAAGCTTGCAAGTTCTTTTTGTTTGTATCAATTGATCTTTTTTTAGAGAATACTTCATATTTTCCATTTGATTAGCTCAAAACGAAAAATGGATAATCAGAGTAAGCTTTGGGGTATTTAAAGGCAAGGAACTCATTTTAATTCATCTAATATTATATGATTGTTATGTTGTTATATCCACTGATTTGCATTTATATTTGTAAGTGAAAAAAACACAAATAAATGTAGAAAAATGAAAGAAAAAGAGCACAGTAACACAGTCTGCTAGGATAAATGAATAACTGTATTAAAAATAAACCATGAATACTTTTTACACAATTGTTGTCTATATAATAGCCTTGATAATACCGAATGTGGATTTTATATATGATTTTCTACATGTCCAGTTTATATTTTTCTTCAAAATAGTTATTATAATTGTGATGCTTACTATGAAATAATGCATTTCCTATAGGTTGCCAATTGCCATTCATTTTTAGATGTATACATACTGAAAATTATAACTTTTGTATGCTTGGAAATGTACCTTCTTTATACGTATCTTTGTATTCTTATTTCTTTTCAGGATGTCTTCCCTATTTACATTCAATAACTCAGCTCTTGAGTTATGCAGAAGCATTTGATCATCAATGGACATTTTTGTTTTCAAACCTCAACGCACAAAATGAGCAAATGGACAAATGCTTGAGAAAATGCGGTACTCTAAAGCTTCAGTTGCTTGATGTTGTATATATCTTGAATGCACAAATGAGATATCTAATTCTTTCAAACTTATCGAATATGAAAACCTTATTTTCCCTTGATGGGTCTGTAATTCATCATATTTTAATTATATTTTCATGTTCTTAGGGTTAATTATAAGGCTATACATTTTTTGTTTGACAGGAAATAATGGTTCAGTTGGAGCAAATCCATGCTGAGTCTCAGCGGCTGTTGCGAGGAATTTAGGAAATTCTGCCATTTTATGTCATTTACCCTTTTCCTATGGTTTTTCTTGACGTTTCATCTTTTCAACAATTTTTTTACTTATTGTTATTATGGAACCTAAAATCGTCATTTTGTCTTAGCTAGATATAGTTTTGATCTATAGCTCATTGTCACTTGTAGTGTCTAAATATCAAATTGATTTGATTATTTCATTAACTTTTAAGTTTCTTCTGAACAAGAAACAAGAGATGCTTCATTTAAGCCCGTCCCTTTGGTTCAGAAGCCAATATCGTCTGTTTTGGAGAAGATAAGGCCGATTTAAACAATAATCTGAGAAGTCTATTCCAAGCTTGCAAGTTCTTTTTGTTTGTATCAATTGATCTTTTTTTAGAGAATACTTCATATTTTCCATTTGATTAGCTCAAAACGAAAAATGGAAACTGCTGCTAATGAAATTTATCCAGTTGCCATTTAATTGTTGGTAATGCCTAACTATGTAAACAAGTAGATAATGGGAAATTTTTAGGTAATGCCATCTAATTGTTGGTAAAGCCATCCATCATTAAGCTCAAACAAAAAGAACCCATACCAAAACATGTACTTCACATACTACTCATTTTATCCTCATCTGAAGAGACCTGTATGTAATGTATTCATGTCACTACACCAGTAGCCATCCATTAATATTTTTATTTGCATACTACTCATTTTATTCACATACTCATTTTAACCTTCTAAACAGTGTTATATTGAAAAATGGGGACAATGGCAATGAAAGAAAGGGACAAGTTCACAAATAACTATTAATAAATTACATAGGAATTTCAACTTAAAAGAGAATTTGTAAATATAAAGACTTACTTTCTTTTGTAGAACAACAAGAAAAATGGAAGATGAAGAAATAGATAATACCAAGACTAATTTAAGCTACTTTACTTTTCCAAAACAACCCTCACTCGAGCAAAATAATTTGACCTATTGAATAGTTATTGGCTGCAAAATTTTGCCATTGACAAAACTTTAGAAAGAGATATTCGGCTAATTTAGTAATATATTAAATTTTATATTCTTAAACTAGGAAATTTAGAGGTGACCTTATATTCTTTAGAACAAGAATGTATAAGCATCAGATGATAATATTTTTGGTAACATATATTTTTATATGATTTATAATTTTTAATTTAAAGTATACAAGGATCAAATTAAATGTATTAAAACTTAGAGAGACAAATTTAAAATACAATGATAGAAAAAAATAAGCTGCCATGCTTTGCACGGGGTACATACTAGTGTAGTTAGATACCAGGAGACATCCTAGAATTTGATTTAAAATACATGGTTTAGATTCAGAATCATGTTTTTAATTTTTACTTTGTAGAAACATTTGGGGTACTTTCACTGCTGATGCAGCTTATTCCTCGTA